CAAATAGAGAAATGTGGCACTTTCTAGGAATGGGAGGGCAAATATAATACAGTAGTTAAGAGTATAGAGTTTAGTGTCAGAGCTTTTGGTATAAGGCTATGTTCTATCTGCCACTTATGGAGTGATTCTGAGCAAGTTTTTCAAATAAACCTGCTTCAATATTTTAAAAAGGGAAACTAGAATCAACAATTCTGTATCAGCAAAAGACTATTATGAAAAATATTACACTACAATTCAGTAAAGTAAAATCTTCAAATAATATGAAGTCGATTAATTGCTATTATTTGGGGCCATCATAGTCACATATAAAAATACCTCCCAATTAAACTGAAACTTAAACTTATTTTCATGTATTTCTTTTGTTACTTTTCTTCCTATAATTTAAGATGATTTTGGCAGCCTTCCCTTTACATTCCAAGTGGGTGACACTTGAATAATAACATTACTTTGGAATTGAAATAATCTTGCAGAAAATTTGACAGTCAACAAATGGGAAGTAGACCATGTTAAGAAAAATCCACTGAACAAAAAAATTCACTAAAAAGTAGGATCTCTTTGGTTTTAGAAAGTATTTAATTTATAAGTTTCAGTAAATTCGACTTAGTTAACTTCATGCATCATCATAAGTGTGACCTTGAAACTGATACACATTATAGTAGTTCCAAGAATAACATGGTTTTGTTCAATGTCATTTCACCATAATGTGGATGAGAGACAATTGTCTCCCAGGGCTACTACCTGTGCGGAGTTTGCACGTTCTACCACAATCACAGAACTTTTCCTGGCACTCTGGTTTCCTCCCACACCCCAAAGGTGTGCACAATAGGTACACTGGTGTGTTTTAACTGTTTTGGTCTGCGTGAGTGTGGGTACGGTGTGCATGCACCTAGGAAGAGAATGACATTCTGTTCAGGGTTGGTTCCCACCTTCAGCCCTGAAATGCTGATAGGCTCTGGACACCCTTGACACTGAACTGGAACAAGGGGGTTGGAAAATGAATGAATACAAATAATGCTTTAATGTTATAAGTGATTTGGGTCTTTATTTAGAAGTTTGGTAAGTTTTCGTGACCAGAAACATGAGAAGGAACTTATCTCTTTTTTATCAATTAGACTATGGTAAAACTAGCTTCATTTTACATTGTTTCATTTAATGTTAGTTTCCCAAGTACCTATTGATGACTTGAAGTGAGGAATTACTGTAAAACAAAGGACTGGTAGTCACTAAGATGCCTGGACCTAAACTCCTGAGTATTTGCCAATCATAGAAAGTTTTCTTCAGTTTTTGAATATTTCAAATTTTCCATTTTAAGTATAATTAGACTACTATCCCATGTCCAGTCAAGGGATTGCTAAAAGAAAACACTAAACATTTTTGGGTTTACAAAATACTTTCTACAGATCATATGGTAGGCAGAATAAATCCCTGAGGTATCCACACACTAATCTCTGGAACCTGTGAATATGTTAATATAGGGACTTTTGCAGCTTTAATTTCAGTTAAAGACCTTAAAATAGAAAGATTATTTTGGTACTCCTTATGGGTCCCATCTAATTACATAAGCAATTAAAAGCAAAGAATCTTCTCTGGATGCAGGTAGAACAGATGCAGCAGAAGAGGTAGTCAGAGATATCTGAAGTCTGAGATGGGTTCAATGCACTACTGATGATTTGAAGATGAAGATGTTTTAAGTACCAATGAGGCCTCTAGCTGACAGCAAAGGATGGGACTTCAGCCCTATGACCACAAGCAACTAAATTTTGCTAGCAATCTAATAAGTTTGGAAACAGATTTGCCCCCAGAGCCTAGCGTGGCTAACATCTTGATTTCAGCCTTGTGAGATCTGCAACAGAGAAAGCAGCCTAGTCCACCTGGACTGCTGATGAACAGAAGTGTGAGATAATAACTATACAGTGTTTGAAACTGCTAACTTTGGGGAAATTTATTACTGCAGCAATAGAAAACAAATACAGAAATTGAATTCTTTTCTCATATATATCAAACAAACAACAAAACAAGATACTGCATATAAGAGGGCAAATTTATGATTGTCCTTTTTATCAGCTAGCCTCATGGGTACTTTTTTTTGGCCAAGTGGTAGAAGCAGGACTGCCTAGGAAGCACATTTGGTACTGAAAATTGAGACTAGATAATACTAATTACTTACTCTGTAAGAATTCAGAAAGTGGCAATGTTTTCAAAAAGATTATCTTCCAAGTAGTGACTAAGATCCAACTTCACACACAAAAAAACATTAAAAATATTTCCCCAATCTAGTCCCAGGGTTTAAAAAAAGAGTAAAAAGAGAATATTTGATATTTTTCCTATTCCACTTCTATCCTATTACAACAATCAAGGATAAAATCCAGAAATGTAAAGTTCAAGGGAAAAAGAACAGAAACATATTTGACATAAAGAAAAGGGGGATTAGATGACATTTCATGCAATTAAATACAAAATTACACCTAATACTACTGCCTAGTAAAAATACCATTCACTAGATAAGTATTTATTTACAGAACCGGTCCCTTTAGTGACAGGTCTTATTCAAGACACAGGTGATACTACGATGTTATCAAGGAACATAGTCCAGTGGGATGCACACAATTATAATATGTGCAGCTGGAGACATCCAAGCTATTAAGTTCTGGTGTAGTCTAAAGTTATACTAAGGTTTATTTAGGCAGGAGTAAGGCTTGGTGACTGTAAGCCCCACATTGTTCAAGGCTGAAGTGCATAACCAGGACACAGAAATTCACCTAACTGTGATGAATAAAGGTTAAGCTACAGTCTGAAGGAGCAGGGGGGTTATAGCTAATTAGTGCTGGATTAGGACATTCCAGACAGAAGAGCATGTATAAAGATATTGGAATAAGAACTAGAAGTAGCCGGCTCAGCTAACTAAAAAATTTCATTGTGTGAGCATAAAGTAAAAGTATGTATGTTGTGAAGGGGTGGGAAGCAGAGGGAAAATGGTAAAGACAGGCCTTTAACAGTTATATAAGGGTCATATCATAAAGGGTATTTTACTTTATCCGGTAGGTGAATTTCAAGCAGAGAACTGACACATTTATTTATGTTTCTTAAAGATAAGTTTGGAAACAGAAGGGAAAATGAAATGAATTAATACAGGAGTCTGAAAATAGAAAAAAGCTATTATATTATACAGAGAGAATGATGGACTGAACTTGAGAAGCAAGAGTGAAAATGGGGATGAGGTAATCAATGTACAGAATATTCAGACAATAAAATATGTTTTATAGGTTCTCAGCTGTCATTTCCAACTTCTTGGCAGCCTTATCCACAACTCACCATAAACAATGAAAAAGCCAGATATCCCCTACCCAGCTTCGATGGTCACATGTGAGCCAATTCTGGACAATCTCTTGGGATAAAAGGATGACTCTGGCAAAGCCTTTACTTTCTATTGAAAGAAGAGCGGTGCCTATAGAGAAAAGCCTTACCTCTATCTTCCTTCATACTTTGCTGAATGAACATACTATGTTTGTTGCTATGACAATCATTTTACAACTGTGAGGAGACAAGCCAAGAACAAAAGCCAACACTTTGAGGACAGCAGAGTAGAGAGGTGGAAAGCCTTGGTCCTTGGTGATCTGGCTGAGCTGCTGAAATAACCCAGGAACTATTTATCTCTGGACTTAAGTATCCTTCCTTCCAGTTAAGTCACTGGATGTCAATGTCTGTTACTTTCAGACAGAATCAACCAAACTAAAGCAAAGTGACAGGACCTGGTGTCTTGACAGTGAGAGGTTTGTAACAAAGAGGAGTTGCGTTTTCCTCCCAGGATCCTCGCTTGGGAAGCTGAGTAGAAGAAAGTGCTGGTTATCAAGATAAAACAAAAATTCAGGAGGTATGAGGGATGGGGCCAGTTTCAGGTGAATTAAGGGGGAAGGATCTGAGGGAATCTGAGGATGGAAGGAGAAAAGTTTGTTTCTGAATAATCTGATTTGATATATATAATCATTTAGGTGAAGAGTATATTTAGACTTTCTGGGACTTGGTCAAAAAGTTTGAATTAGATCTACAGATGTATGGGAGATCAGGTCCTGTCACACCTGTGTGACTTCACACTCTCCTGGAGTAGTCTAACAGAGATAGGAAGGTGGAAAAAATGTAATCCAGACAAAAACTTCCCTATTTGAGGAGTCCTAAAAAGGGTTTCTTTTTCTGTTCTTTTAAGACACTGAAGATGTAAACAGACTATTTAAAAATAGGAAATTGTTTATAGAATGATTTTTAAACATCATCAGAAAAATGCATATCTTTATTTAAAAAAACAGTAGCCAAGATAATCTGAAAAACACAAAATCTGGATCTGACAAATGAAGACCTTGTGTTAAACTGACTACACTAGAGATTGTGCTAGCAATTGAAACTAGTTTGAATCACCTGCTAGTAAATTAGAAACATGTGAATAACCTCATCCCAAATTCTGGAAATAATTCCAGTATATGTTTTACTGATGGCAGACTGCCCCAAAGTATACAGAAAAATATAATCAATGAGAAGGCAGGAAACAATAATTTAGCTGCGCTACGTAAAATTAAATAACCATTTGAGGATAATACTACTCTTCCATGAAAAGGAAGTTAATACAAGTGACCCTGATAAAATTATTTTCAAAAATATGGGATTTAGGGTAGAAAAGAAATGATCAGCAGCCTCCCAATTTAGTAAACAGGAAAAATACAATAAGAGCTGGAGCAGAGTCTGACAGGGACCCAGAATACAAGGCATGAAGACCCTATAAACAGTGATTATAAGTGCAAATCAAAGTTTGAGTTCCATGTACACATAATTTAGACTAGACAACTGACGTACGTGACCTGTACAAACAACAGCAATCTTCATAAAAGGTTATCTATGAGGTGTTACGAAAGATAAAAAAAGGAACTTGCCCTTGACATAAAGCAAAAATGTTTTAAGAACCAAGACTGAGAAAAATAAGTGTAACAGATACAAATTTGTACCTTACCCACCGGAACTACTGCTCCCAACCACATTTAAATGGGTCTCTCTGGTCCACAGACCCGTTCAGTCCTTCATTCAAGCCCCGAACTAACAAAAGAGCTAACGAAACTTTCAGTTTTGTTTATGTGCCCTACACTCTAGTTCTACTGGACCAGCTGATAATTCCAAAATCCAATGATGCTTCCCTACTCCTGCCATTCTGCTCATGGTGATTGTTCTTGCCTGCGCAGTTCCTACCAATCCTTCAAGTTCCTTTTGTCTTTGAGCATTCCGTGATCCTACAACCATAGCAGTCTCCTCTTTTACATCTTTTTCTTCTCTTATCAAAATCACGCTATTCTGTTTTGAATTCTTACTATTGTACCTCATCTATGATATTCTAAATTACTGAACAGACAATTCATTTATGTGGCTTCTGAAGAGTCAAAATTAAAGAACTGTAGATTGCTGAATTAGACAGAAGTCCAGCTGAAAGTCCTCAAACGAACATGAAAGGATAATTACAAATCTAATAATTCAACTATTTACAATTCTGATAAATGTTCATAGACTCCTCTTGATAGGAAAAAAGCAATACATGAGAAACATATGTGGATATTACTCAGTAAAGAATAAATCAGACTATGGTCTAGAAATCCAGATCTTAATTTTAGTTACCTAGTTTAGCTCTTAGCTACCAGGTTTAAATTATCTCTTTTCCTATCTGTTTCCTCTTTAACTACTTAACATAATACCATATAAGGAATCAGACTGTTAATATTTTTAACCTCTTTGAGAACACTTTCTTTAAAGCACTGGTTTGAATATCATCTCTAGCATTTCCTACATTTACCACAATCAGCAAAGATTTTTGAGTCACAGAATATCTAAAATGTTAAGAAGTCCATTATATGCCAACGAGAGTATTTTCAGTTTTATTAAAAAAGCAAAACTTCTCTCTTCCTCTACTTTTCACAGATAACCTTTAGGCTATAAAACTATGGCCTGGTAGCGCAGGCGGTTGAGTGCAGCGCTGGGAAGCTGTCCGCAGCCTCTGCAGTGCAGGTTCAATCCCTGCCCGCAGTGGAGATGACCTCATGGTGGCGCAGACCTCTCCTGTCTCGCCCGCTCTTCCCCTCAGAGTATTTCATCAGTCTGCCTGTTCTGATCCCCCCTCCTCCACATCTGACCTGTACCCTGGTTCTTCTATAAATAAATAAATCTTAAAAATAAATTATGGCCCTCTAGCCATTGTGTAATCCTAATTTATAAAGGGTTTTTAATAATCTAGCAGGGCATCCAGTGTTCCCCAGAGAATCCTGATGGATGGTTTGTAATGAATAAGAAACCAAATTTAGATGGGGGAGGTGGGGGAGAAGACAGAAATAGTAAAAGGGCAATAAACAGTCATGAGAAATAAAGGTATCTAACTGAATACAAAAACCTTAAATCTAGAGAATTATTTCTTCACCAGTGACACAGGTGAAAGACTTTTTACAAAGTACTGTCTTTTCTTAGGATCTCTAGTTCTGATTATTCTTCTTTGTAACTTTTTGTATACTGTTTCACTCTTCTCACACATCAATCTATCTCCTTTCCCTCCAAATTCACATCAGAAATCAACTCAGAGCAACTCATATCCCAGGCAACTCTACACCCTCCTGACATAACTCCCATATTATGGGATGGGGGCATTCCTTTCTATGCAAGATTTACGCTGTAAATTTATAAACTTTTAAACAATGCAAGGAAACATAAAGTTTAGATCTGTGAATGAGAATCAAGACTTCTCACCTTTAGTATTTCTACTCTTCTAAATCGCTAATCCAGAAAACGTCAGGAACTTCTCCATTGGTCAATTCACTTAAAAATTTTAAACATTTTAAACAAAAAACCACAAATTTTTCCGAAACAAACAAACAAACAAAAAAAATTAACCCTACATCTAACTGCAACGATAATTCTCTCTGGATATTTCAATTGCAATTACAAGGCAAGACCAATCCTTGGCCTCGATTAAGTGTGCTTGCAGTACTCCAAAGTTAATGACATAATAAACAAACCCTTCCATTCCCTCTCCTGTGGTCACGTCAGATACCTGTTGCATCACCTGCAAAGTGGTCTCCAGAACGTAGGAAAGCACTACCGTGATCTCTAAATAATTCCTGTTGGACTAATTTTCTTGATAAATTTTAACCTCATTCATTTTAACGAGGCCGCCTTGGAGGCAAAGACTATTGCCGGCTCCGTTCACCTTTGAGAGATTCTAACACAGGCAGGGCAGCTGCGACTTTCTGGACTTAAGAGGGCTTGGGAGTTCCGAAGACTTGGGCATGAAGAGATGTATGGCTGGGCAGCAGCAGAGCAGCAGGGAGGGCGCCCGGGAAGTGGGCAGCACCTGAGTGCAGGTGGTGGGCGCAGGGGTCGGATGCGCGACGGAAGCTCTGCGGGAAGGACACTGCCAGTCGGTCAAGGGGTCGGGCCCAGCGCCGGGGTCCGAGCCAAGCTGGGGGACGCGGGTGAGATTCAGCCGACCTGAGCCGAGGCTGAAGCCCCCGGGCTGACTGGGCAGCACTACCCCGCGCGTGGACGTGTGAGAGGACTGAAAAATAATATCCCCTCCCCCCACTCCCAGGAACTAAGCTGGAGGCGGAGACGCGCGGCAGGAAGCGCGTGGGGCCGGGGTCCGAGCCCGACCCGCGGGGCCTGGGCCGGGGCTCGGGCCGCCAGGGGCCGCACTCACCATGTCGTACACGTTGAGCACCACTAACTGATTAGCCCCCATCCTCCTCCCCGCGGCCACCGCCTCGTCCTCCAGCCGCTCCGTCTCCGCGGGGCCGAGGCCGCTTCTACCCCCGGGGGCGCCTTAGGGGGCCAGAGCCAGGTTCGAAGCGCTCAGCCCGGCCGCGGTGGCCAGGGCGGGAGCATCGGGGAGCCGGGCCGCTCGGGGGCGCCGCCGACAGGACACTAAGCGCGAACGCGGCCGGACCGGTGGCGAGCCCGCTCCGGCTCAGGCGCCACCCCTAGGCAGCAGACACGTGGGGGAAGGCGGGGCCTGAGCGAGGGGTGGGCCCAGACACCCCGAAGGCGGGGCCAGCCCGGCCCGCGCAGAGCCTGCGCTCTGACTTTCTCCTGCCGCACCTCGGGACCTAAAATGGCGCAGCCTACGCGCCTCTCCACGCTGAAGGAGCCGGGTCCCAGAAAGACTACAGTTCCCAGCATGCACTGCAGCGATGGTGCCGCTACTCCCAGTTTAAAGTGCACGGGCTGAGTCTCAACCACCGGGCGTGTTTTCAGCGGCGGACTACAGCTCCCAGCATGCTCGGAGGTCCCGATCCCTGCAAGACTAAGCGTCCCCAGGAGACTAAGCTCCCCAGCATGCAGTGCATTAGATCTACCCCTGATATTATGCGGGTCGCCCTTGGGCTGCTGTGAAGTCTTGTGCCTTTGACCCCGCTTCGCTGTTGCTGCTACTGTTAGTTTATGTCGTAGTGAGCCCGCTGAAGCCAAAGAAATGTGGCGAAAGATCAGAGTGACCCTGTTTTCCCAAACCTTCCTCCCTGTTTTTTTTTGGGGGGGTTGCAGGGGGCAAAGGGATGGATGGAGAAATGGGGGGGGGGCGCAGCTGTAACATGTATCTGGTTAATCCTCAATATAGAAATTTACATTTTATGAGACTGTCCTGCTGAGATGAGAAGAGAGTACAGTTTTCATAGATTAGCACAACGCTGGTGAAAGGTTTGGCGCGGTAAAGAAAGGAGAGCCAGGCTAAATTTCTCAAAGGGAGGGAAAGTTTATTGCGCCCGGGGCGGACCTCACAGACCCAAGGCGGGGGTCAGTGGAGTCGCGCACAGTTGTTAGGGGGAAGCAGGGTTTTATAGGGTGAGGAGAGGTCAGGTGGGTAGTTGGGCTCGTACAGCAGGAAAAGTTTGTAGGGCAGGTAGAGGTTCTTTGTTTGAGAAGAGACTCGAGGGGGGGAGGGGGGAGGCTCATTGTCTGAGTCCTCCAGGCAGGTATCCTCATTCCTGCCCCCCAGGTGGGCTTCCTGGTTGGCTTCTGCATTGCGGCCTCCTGCGTGGACCTTTCATACCAGCCTTTTGTTGATAGGAAAAGGGGCAACGGTTCTTTCTTTGGCTACTTCCTGCTGAAAAGGGGCGAAGATCAAGGGGGTGGCTCAGGCCTGGTTATGAAGGTCTTCTGCAGGGATGCGAGAATATGGGTGAAGGAGTTGGTTAAAGGTGGTAGTGTTATAGGACAGGGAGAGGGGCAGCCCAAAAACCCTGCAAACCTGCCTATTCTAAATGGGTTCTGCCATCCGCCGCATCAACACAAAACATAGGAGACTTTAATGGGAAGGAACTTTAATTAAACTAGGAAACAATACAGGTAAGGCAAAGAGTCTAGTTTCTAAATGAAGCACCCAAAGTTACCCATCCCCTCGTGGGTAAAAGTCCATCCATATGGGATCGGCCCAGAACAAGGCCCCAAAGCCTGCTACAAGTCTAAAGCATCTTCCAGTGGGGACCCACAGCAAAGGGTCACAAACAACCGGACAAGCCCGGAAGGAAAAGAGCAAAATCAACATCAAGATAAAAGCTGCCATTGTCACCTCCCCACGGGTCTCACCCACATCTGTGTCACCCAGTCCACGACCAAAAGACAAGCGCAGTTTCTTTACGTGTCTCTAGGCTCCATGCGCCTCCTCCAGGTCTCCTGGCTCCATCCTGCTTCCTTCCTCAGTCTCTTCTGCTTCTCCCCTTCCTGCTCAGCTCCACCCTCCCTTGGGTGGGGCAGGGAACCTCCCCCTTTCCTGGGGACCACCCTGTTACAGTAGGAGACATTTCCCGAATGCGAGCCTGTATGAATTTTAGGAGGCAAGGAGCGAAAAGAAAAAAAATAAGGTTATCATTAGTATTGGCCCCAAGAGTGGGAGGAGCCATGACACTATAGGATTTTGAAACCATGTCAGCGGAGAGTTGGACTCCCCGGTTTTACTAGTAATAACATTCTTCCCTGAGGAACAGGCAGGTACCCCCTTTATTTGCTGTTAACAAGTCCAGAGCCCGCTGGTTTTGGAGAGTGACCTGTGCCAGGGAGGTGAGCTGTCTTTTTAATGATGTTGAAGACACACAGGTTTTTTCTAAGGAGGTATTTTTTTATAAAATTTCTGGGCAGAAATCAGGCTGTGTTCCAGGGCCCCACCTTCCATACTTGCAGCTGCTATCGATGATGCCAGGCTGATTACAACCATGATTGGAAGAAAGGCTGTCCGCTTAGTCCAATGTGGTGAGAATAACTAACCTAGCTCAGACCGTCTGTACAGAGCTAACTGTGGGACCACGAGGACTTGGATACGTGGGCCTGGAGTAGCAGAATTAATACACTGAGAGAGAGAGCCATTGCACCAGAAAAAGTTTCCCTTTGCTGTTGTTCGGAGCACAGAAGTAACCGAAATGTTAGAAGTACAGGAATGAAAGCTGACAAGGGCATCAGTTTGATAGCAGGGG